AAGGTATTATTCTTGCAGCGAAAAGAACGGAGTCTTTTCACTGGGAATTTTCAGGCAAATATAATACATAATAGTGTGGGTCCAAAACGCAGGTACCGTGATAAATATCAAGAAACCAGAAACCATCTAATTTCAGGATGTTCTGTACTTGCGCCAAATGAATATAAAAATCATCACGATAGAGTGGGGCAATATTTACACTGGACAATGTGCAAGCACTTTGAAAAGAGGTTAATAAACCCTGGTATGAACATCACCCACCACCAGTTACAGAAATAGAAGGCATGGCAATTCTATGCGATTAAACCATCTTTAATGGCAGGAACATTGAAGCAAATGGGCTAAATTATCAAAAACCGACCCCCCCCGCAAAAAAAAAAAACGGCTTGCCTACTACTATGGCTTTACCAGCAGACTGTAACATAACAACCAAAGAATTTGAAAAAAAACTATGGAAATCGAAATAGAAAAGATGCGGAAATTAAAAACAAGAATAGTACCAGTCATAGTAGGTGCGCTTGGAATGATAAAAAAGGAACTCAATAACACAATGAAAAAATCCCTGGAAATCCTAGCTTAAGAGATATACAAAAAATGTCTTGATAAATACAGCCCACACAGTAAGAAGAACTTTGTCCATGTAACGCTAGTGATGTTATGGGAGTTAGAAAAACAAATCATGAAATGTAGGCATAACAACACAGCACTGCCAGCCTGAGGTCCTTCCGCAGGTAGGAAGTGTGACCATAGCAGAAATCGAAATAATAATAATAATAATTTCGTAAAAGACATCTATTGGATGCTTTGGCACACATCATAAGTTATGTTTCTTGCCGAGGTTCATTAGGGGTTTCGGGTCTTTCAACATCATACCCGCTCTGCGCAGTGACCCAGACAAAACAGATCAGATATCGACATGTGTACCAGCTACAATTTTCTCCATTTTCTTAATCACACACTGCGATTTCTTTTGGCAGTCTATAGTCCAATCAGGGATAACTTCCGGTTCACCAGTAATCTACGTTTTTCCTTAAAAAAGGAAGCAAACGCCGTAATGGTTTCGATCGCGTAAAAAACATGGCGACGCGCTCGTAAGTAATGATTTTGCTTCCACCTCACTGAGATATATACATACACACATACGCAAACCCACCCATGAATCACATTCTACTTACTTTTATTCTATTTCCATAATCATCCAACCGAAAAAGTAAACCCCTCCCACTGTGTCCACTGCACACACACACACACACACACACACACACACACACACACACACACACACATATATATATATATATATACATACATACATATACATACGCACATACATATATATATATACACATACATACATATACATACGCACATACATAAACACACACACACACACACACACATATATATATATATGTATGTATGTGTGTGTGCACATACACATCTACAAAATTGTAACTTTTGTAAGGAGGCAAACAGGTGCTAGATCTTAGCCATAGATCACCTGTTGGTAAGAATTGTTCGGGATACTCTAATTCTGTCCCCTAGCCGAGACTCCATTGTCAAGTGTAGTTTTAGGTCATACCCAAGACCAATAATAATAATAATAATAATAATAATAATAATAATAATAATAATAATATTTCATTTGATTTCTGGTGTATATTCATTTCTCTCTGGATTCCAACCGGAGACCTAAAATCAGAAATGGTTTCATAACATTTGCCAATGAGCATATTTTTTGAAAAAAAAAAAGCAAACCTATGATCACATAAATAGGTAAAACCCTTCGTAATGTGTGAGCTGTACTTATGAGTGCATTTCTTTTATAGCTTCGGCTACCAGGGATTCCTTCATTGAGTCTATTAGAACATTTTCCAACCTAACTACAACTGGAATTATTAATGTCCTCATGTTCCACATTTTTGAGATTTTCTCTTGAAGATCCTTTTATTTTGATATATTTTTTTTAAGCTCTTCAAAGGTACATTACAATCTGCAGGGACTGCTATGTCAATAAGAAAAGGATATTCTCTTCTTGTGGTCTTTGATCACGATGTCTCGGTGATTAGCTTTGATTGTTCTGCCTGTGTGTATTGTAAAGTCCCATAAAATTGTTACAGAGTAACCGAGTCTGAGTGATGTTCATACCAGTTTCTTGAAGTTCCCTCCCTGTAAAAGTGGCAAGTTTTCCAATGCCGATATTAACCTACTCTATCATACCGAGTTTTATATTAACTGGGAGTTAACACTTTTAAACCTACACTACGTAACCACTGATGGGTACATGGGTTTGTCTACATCAAGTTGTTTGGTACCGGTAGAGTATTATTATTATCCTTTGTGTACGTTTCCTGCTTTGTATCCTCTAGAGCCCCGTCCAAACTATGGTCTTTAGGCTATGTAAGAAAATTGTCATTTAATTGATAACACTTTTCTTAGTATATGGGATGTTCTTAGAAGGGTGGTCTTCTGGGCAAGTTGTATGTTGATGTTACCGGGACACTCTCAGTAAAATTGTCCACTCCTTTTCTCACGAGGCCCAGAGCTCCGATTACTATTGGGTATAGTCTCAGTCTTTATTCCCAACATCTTCGAATCTCGAACTCTAGGTCTTTGTATTTGGAAATTTTCTCGATAATATTCATTGAGGTGTTTCTCTCAGATGGTACTGCTATGTTAATAAGTATACTTCCTGTATGTTTTGTTTTTATGATAATATCAGGCCTGTTGGCTTTTATTTCACTGTCAGTTTGAATTAGAATGTCCCAGAGGATAGTTACATCGTTATTTTGGTTGGTACTCATGCTATCTCTCAGTGATTTCGATTTTGTGTTTCTTGCATATCTTCCAGTGCATATATCTTGTTACCTTGTTATGTCTGTGGGCATATACATTTTTGCTAGTTCCGGTCCTCCTGAGATAATATGGACGACAGTTTCATCATATTTACCGCAGATCCGGAATTTCGGGTTAGTTCCATCCTTGATAATGGGACAATGATAGGATCAGTTTAATTTTATTAATAACAATAATAGCGTTTATTCCATCTTATTGTTTTCTATCGCGTTTATGAAAGGTTGATAAGCCGTAAAATATCACTCAAACGATTGCATTTATCAGATAATTCTTTTACATTCTAAGGCTAAGAAATAATCAGTATGTATTCAAACAAAAGGGGTTGGTGGGTGAGTTAATTTTGTTTAACGGTATATCAACCTCTATAGGTTATTAATGCCGAAATCTATGTACTTTGCACGAACATTTTTATCTTATCTTTTGGCGTGGAGGGTGGGGATAATAATGATTTTAATGATATAAGCCTTACTAATTAACCCATAGTTGGGGGGAGAGGTAGATTCATACCATTCTCAAGAGTATTTGCGCGTAAGTGAGTATAAGGAACTCAAGTGGAATTGGAACTCGGCTCTCCGATTAACAGTTCCGAGCCATTATCACTTAAACCACCCGCACCATCAAGTTTACACCAACTGGTATTCCAAACCGGTCACTCATCTAGGTACTGGCCAGACTCGACGTTACTTAACTTTGTTGATCGTACAGGAACTGGTGTTTCAACTTGATATGTCCGTAAGCTAACAAAGTATGTAACCTGCGATATTTGAATTCCTCTAAAATATTGAAACGAAACACACACACACACACACACACACACACACACACACACACACACGACAAAAAGAAAATATATTATCTACAAAATCCAAATAACTTAAAGATATTACGTCTATTATTACATCTATTATTACATGTAAAGAATGTGCGGGAAGCGAAGCGGTTATCGGCACAGAAATTGGGCTTTGGCGTTTCGTGTTCAAATTCCATCCGTAACAGTTGCTCTCACATTCGCATACATCCCATAAGAAAGATGTAAGAAAGATCTCCCTCCATCAGTTATGGCGAGATTAATTAGTAGAGCAGACTTTGCTTTCAAATTTAATGTAGGAAAAAAGAAAATTAAATACATGATCAATTATAATAATTTAATGTAGAAAACAAGAAAACATAATACAGAATCACTTAGAATAAATTTAATGTAGAAAACAAGAAAATTGAATACAGAATCAGTTTTAATAAATTTAGTGTAAAAAAAAAAGAAATTCAGTACAGAATCAGTTATAATAAATTTAATGTAGAAAAACAAGAAATTTGAATATGGAATCATTTATAAAAAAAAAAGTCAGTGTAGAAAATATAGAACACAAGTTCATTTTTTATTTGACGTATTTTTATCTGTCTCTGAAAGATGATATTAATCTCTTATATTAATTTCTTATATTAATATAAAATTCGAGTTATGTTCTTACAAATGTGGTATGACCGTTCAATTACAAAAATCGTTGAAACCTAATAAAAGTTCACAATAATAAAAAAAAAAACTCTTAATAATATCAATTATTAACACGGCCTAAATGTCCAACTTGTATTCCAGCATTAAGAACTTGTGTAATTTTAGTCTGTCTATAATTGCATTTCTACAACATTCATTGTACTAGTGTAACGCACATCCTTGAAAATAACTATCAGATTAACCGAAAGCGTAAGTAGGCAACAAACATTTGACCGATTTCTACTTTCATTAGGTACAGAAAACAAAGCACTTGTTTGCATACAAGATGAATATAATAAAGAAATCTTTGAAAAACGCATATTGTATGTCATTGCTTAAGAAATTCATACTAAACTGGGATTGCTGTGCAAACACACATCTATCTATCTATCTATCTATCTATCTATCTATCTATCTATCTATCTATCTTTAGACATGGTTTTTGCTCTCCAGCAGCAGCAGGAAAAGTGTTGGGAGCAAAACAATAGGCTGTATGTTGCGTTCATTGATCTGGCGAAATCATTCGGCACAATGAGTAGAAGAGGAATGTGGCAGATCATGGGGCGACATGGTTCCCCTCTAAAGTTACTGAACATGATTATCCAGCTGCATGAGGATCACCGTGGCCAAAGTTAGACAAAACGGTGATCTCTTAGAGCCCTTCTTGATCACCAATGGCGTAAAGCAGGGTTGCGTTCTGGCACGGACTCTCTTCATCATCTTCTTCAGCATGATGCTCAAACAAGCCACGAAAGATATTGATGAGGAGGACGGAGTCTACATCAAATAGCGTCTCGATTGTGGCCTGTTTAATCTACAACGACTAAAAGCTCACACGAAGACCCTGGAGCAACTTATCCAAGACCTCTGTTTGATGACGATGCTGCCCTTGTTGCCCACACAGAAGGAGGTTTGCTACGCATCACTTCCTGCTTCACAGAAGCTGCCAAAAGTTTGGGGCCTGAAGTCAATTTAAAGAAGGAAGAGGTACTCTGGATGAGTACTGAGCCTCGGGATGAGTATCATCATCATTGACGCGACTGGGCTGAAGGCGGTCCATCTTTACCTACCTTGGATGTACCATCACGTCAGATGCTGGGATCGACAATGAGATTGACGACAGAGTGGCAAGGACGAGCATTGCATTTATCAGACTGTAGAAACCTGTGTGATACAACAGACACCTGAAGAGTTACACTAAGATCAGGGAGTATAGAGCTATCGTCCTCGCCACTCTCCTATACGACTCAGAGTCATGGGTCACTTACCGACACCACCTGCGACTCCTCGAACGGTTCCACCAGCGATGCCTGCGCACAATCTTTAACATTCAATGGAGTGACCCCGTCTCCAATATTAATGTCCTTGAAAAGGCGAAGATCACAAGTATCGAGGCCATGCTGCTGAAGTCCCAGCTACATTGCGCTGGACACATTTCTAGGATGGAGAATCATAGTCTGTCTAAAATTTTATTGTACGGCGAGCTCTCCACTGGCTACTGCGACAGAGGGGCACAAAAGAAGCTATTCAAACATTGCCAATGGTCAACCCTAGCTGAGAACCGTGACGCCTGGCGTTTCAACACCAACCATGCTTCTCCTTCTTTGAAAATACCTGCAGGGTCGCTCTCAGGAACAAGAGGCAGAGGAGGAAGTACTGCAACGCCACGCCATCAAGCTCATCTCATACTTTCAGCTGCAACTACTGCGACTGTGTATGACTGTCCCGCGTTGGACTTATCAGTCACTAACGTCCCTGAAAACGATGTGTTCAGACTCCCTCTTGATCTTCGCTTTGTGAAGCCAAGTCATAATATATATATATATATATATATATATATATATATATATATATATACAACAAGATGCATTAAGATAGGTAAATGTACGAGCGAGTGTCCGTATTCATATACAAATATATATACTCTCTAGTGTAAGGAAAATCCATGCTCACAGTTAAATAACAGCGCTATTTAATATATTAAAAATATATGCATATTATCTTACATTTATTGCACAACTCTGAATTTCATACGTTCTGAATTCGTCAGGTGGAATTTGGGGGGGGGGGGTTAACACCCCTTCTATAATATTTCTGTGTATCGTGAGATATTTTATTGTAGTAGCGGATTATTATTGATGTCAAAATATTTAATTGAATTGTAGCTTAATTTTGGATTTAAATTTATGGCAGGATTAGCATTTAAGATTGCATATAATGTTGGAAATAAGAATTATAAATTCTAATTTGAAGAGACGCTGTTGTAAACAAAAGGAATGAATAAGAAAAAAACGCTTGAAAATCAAGACGGAGAGCAACTCTATTTGTTTCCATGAAAATCAATAAAGTAATTAATAATATTATTAATATTAATATAATAAACTAAGTAAGAGTAGTGATATCAATAATAATAAATGCAAATAAGAATAAATAAATAAGTAAATAAACACGAAGACTAAATGTAGAAGACAAAAATAATTAAAAATGGTAGCGATAATATATATATATATATATATATATATATATATATATATATATATATATATATATATATATATATATATATATATATATATATATATATATATATATATATATATCTTTTTCTTTCTTCCTTGTGCAGTCTGGGACAATTCTTGTGTACATCCATTAGCTTTGCCGTGCGACGATAGCCTAGGGGTAGAATCTCTGACTGATACCAAATCGGTCGGGTTTTCGATTCCGGCTTGAAGCAATCGGACGTCTAGCCACACTGAAGAGCTGTGGTACAGCGAAGCAGTCTGTCTGCCACATGACTATATATATATATATATATATATATATATATATATATATACAAGTGAGAGAGTGAGAGAGAATGAAAGAGAGAAAGAGAGAGAGAGAATGAACGAGAAACAGCGACGGGCGGACGGTCAGCTACAGTGGAAGGAAAAGAAACCACTTTGATTATATGCAGGTGTAGTCGAAGAAACTGAATGAGAAAGAGAGAGAGAAAGAGGGGGGAGAAAAAAGAGAAAGAGTAAGGCAGCGACAAGATTATATTATATTATATGTAGGGTAGACAAAGAAAGTGAGTGTGTATCTATCTGAGAGAGAGAGAGAGAGGTGGGGGGGATGAAAAGAAACCACTATGATTATGTGGAGAGGTAGACGAAGAAAGGGATATAGAGAAAAACGGAGAGAAAGAAAGACGAAAAGATATAGTCAGATAGATAGAGTGAAGTGAAGATATTTTTACCGGAAGCCCAAAATGATAACGGAAATATATAGAAGTCAATGTAGACAAGATCTTGAAAAGTGAAGGTCGTATGAGGGAATAGAAAAAAAAAAATTAAGGAAGCCAGTGATCTAGACCTTCTTAAATGGTTGATGTGAATTGGCTAAGATAGTTGTTCTTATTGCGGTTCAAGGGGATATTGATAGCAACAGGTATAGTCAGACTTTCCTAGCCATGTGGGTGGCCCACATCCTTTATACACGTCCTTTCATTTCTGTATTCCCTTTCCATTTACAATTTCCGATTTCTTCCTTCTTATTCTTCGCGATCTCTCACCTAATTCTCTCGAACGTTGCCTCGTTGTTATTCATCTGTAAGTGATTCCCTAAATAAATTAAAATATATATATATATATATATATATATATATATATATATATATATATATATATATGTGTGTGTGTGTGTGTGTGTGTGTGTGTGTGTGATAAGATAAAGAACAAATAGGAAAATCAATCTAGCATGTTTCACTTTTATTAAAGTTTCATCAGAGAATGAGATATGGAGTGAAAGGAAAAATAAATTCTAGTATTTTTAAATTTGTGTTGATTGATTTTCATTGGTCAATCCTGTTTCACTGGTTAAATAAACGCTGTTAGGATCTGTGGCGTTTTGATTTCAAGGAAAGACGACGCGTCAATCCAAAGTTTCAAGAAGAAATTAACGGATTCCAAGCTTATTTGAAAAACCGCAAATATTTCTTTTTATATGTAAGTGTACAATAATTCTAATTTGTTTATGTGGAATTCCAGGATAATGTATATTTATAAATGTGTATGTGCGCGTGTCTAGTATACAATATGTTTGCATTATATATATATATATATATATATATATATATATATATATATATATAGAAAGAAAGAACAGTAAGATATATAATCCGGTGTTCTTATAGATATTTTTATTTTTACAGAAATAGTGCTTAATGTAAATTTACAGAGCATTAATATTATAAATTAACTGATTTAAAATATGTTTTTTTCGCTACACAGTTCTAACCATGTTTCAAAAATGGAAGCTAAAAGCTTCGAATTTAATTTTGTAATTAAAGACATTAGTTCCATTTCATCCTCAAGCGACACACACACACACACACACACACACATATATATATACATATATATATATATATATATATATATATATATATATATATATTTCGTCGGTTGAAATAAGCTTATTCCTCATATGAAGTGATTTTGGATTTTATTGTGTATTAATTTTTGCTCTGTAATAATAAGCACATTCAGCTCCTTTTTGTGGATCATTTTTAATATTCTATACACTACTAGGATCCCTTAAATTATATATCAACAGATTTATTACGTTTACTATATATATATATATATATATATATATATATATATATATATATATATAAGACAAAAGGTAAACTGTTCATGTAAGACAAAAGGTAAACTGTTCATGTCTCAAGGATGTATTATGAGAAACGTAAGGATTTTATTTTCTAGGAAGCATTCATATCCAAGACCAAAAATGTTATTGGTTTTTCAAAATTTTGGCGGTCATGGATATTCATCCGGTTTACAGAATAGTCAGGCAAGTTCAACGGACGTGAGGTGATACAATTCAATGCCTTAAAAACGAAAGTAAGTAGATGTTTTATATATGTATATATATGTAAATTTGTCATTTATTTTAGATTGGGATTGATTTATGTGTTATATATTTTGAATAACCTGCGGTTATGGATTTAACCGATTTCTTTCTTATTTAGTATATTGTTGTCAAGAATCTTGGCTTGGGATAGAGGTAATTCTTTCAGGAAAGGAGATATTGGAAAGAATCCGAGGCACAGATTTATATTTTGATAAGATTTGATAGTGGCACTTTCGAGAATTTTCCTTCTAAGTAAGTTACTTTCTTTTTTAATAAATGTGGCATTCGCTAGTTTAAAGTTGTGGTTGAATTTATTTCTATGTAGGACTAATGCATTTTATCAATTCTTGTGTATAAGGTCTCTTTTATGTTCATAGATACGTTAATTTTTTTTTAATTCTGCAAGTTTCCCTAAAGAATTGTGAGGAATAGTTCCGGCAGTTTATTTTGTATATACCTGTAATATGATTTTCTGGAGCTTTCTAGGACCTTCTAGAACTTTATGGAAATTTTGAGAACTTGTTTTTGTTTATTTGTACGTTATCCTATATTTATAAACTGTTAAATCCGTTTAAAAATACATAGGTAATATCCAAGTATATCATCAGCCAACTGAACTATAAAGCTTCTAAAATATTTTGATTTTTTACCCTCATTGCGTTTTTGGTAAAATCAAATTTTCGGTTACGGAGTGAGTTTTTCAAGAAGTAAAACAAATTAATGCCCTTTTCATTACTTTTGAACGAAAGTTAATCGATTTATGACACAATAGGGCTTCCAAAGGTCAGAAACCTAAATACACTCGCAAATATGTGCACACACACACACACACACACACACACACACACACATATATATATATATATATGCAAAAATTAATTCCTTTTACTGATAATAGTTAATTTTGAATTGCAATCTCTTAGTTTATAGAAGAATTCATAGACACATTTTTTTTTAATGGGGATGAGGATAGGTAGGTTAAGGTCCCAAGGTATTGATAATAATTACCTTAGATGTTTTATATATCTTTCGCCAGACTAAGTCTAGGTTAATAAATGTCTTCCTCTGGGAATATTGTGTTCTTATTGATTTTTATTCTCAAATCGTTCTACTTTCAGCCATCCGTCAGTGAAATGATTAATGGAAAAAAATCGAAGACATGTGACAATCAGCTAAACATTTACAACTGAATGTGCCCCATAATCTAATTATTGTTTATGTTTTTTTACTGAATTTCTTTCAAGATATTTGAACAAAGATTTTATCGAAATTTTTCCCTCTAACGTTTTTGCTACTAATATTATAAACCATCAGCTGTCAGTAGTATAGACTACTTAAAATCCTTTGAAGATAGACCAGCTGACATTTGACACACACACAAATACACACATACCCACATAAATGTTTATATGTGTGTGTATGTACGTGTATGTGTTCATGTATGTGTATGTATGTGTGCGTGTGTATGTGTCTGTGTATATGTATATGTCTGTGTATATGTATGTGTCTGTGTATGTTACTGCTTTCCTGTAACATTTTTTTCATTTACACGGGTACATTTTTTGGGGTGGTGGACTATTTTTCATTTAGTTTATAAACAATATCACCTTTCTAGCTGGTGTATTTTTGAGCCTCTATTTCATTTTCATAGGTATTCGCCTTCTAATTTTTAAAGAAGCACCTTCACGTGTAGATCATTATCTCGACACGCGCGCGCGCACCCCATATATATATATATATATATATATATTTGTGTGTGTATGTATTGTAGGAAAAAACAGACAAAACAAAACAAGAATGAACACGCAGTAACTTAAATAATCAATGTGGTAACATCAGCAATTTTTTAGAATCACCAAGATGGCGGGCACAGGCGGTATCATTTTGACGCATGGAAGTGGGACTGTTGATAGGGTTTTCGCAGTTTGAGGAGATTGTTGAGAAAGATGGGGACAAACTAAAATCTGAGCCAGAAAGAGACAAGCGCCAAAAATCCGAAGAGTTCAAGCGAGAAACGAAGAAGCTAAAGGGAAACTGACTCTTATCAGCTGCTTACAGCAAATGTATCGGCTTGATTAGTAATTAAGTCAGTTATAGATATTTTTTAAATTGCACTTTTCTCTTTTTTTATTTTTATTTATTTATTCCGACTGGTGTTCCACCTGTCGTGAAATATCGAATCAAGACACATCCATCCATGTGTACATATGTAGTTTATGGGGACAAGTACAATAGCTCAACTAATAAAGACGCTAGTTAATTCTTTTATGTACCATGTCCCATCCGAACCTGGACGGTCATGGCTCTCCTTAGCTTCCTATCTCTCATAGCTCTAAAAATTGTTAGTCTCCGTACTATCCAACAAAATCTCTCGTCTGCCATCAGTTTGAGCAAATTCGTTATATAACTTACTCGATTTTTCGTTTTTTCCCTTCAGAACTTCGGCGTTCATGGCTCTCCACAACTTCCTGTCTTTTGGAGTTTTAAGCAAAATTTGTTCCACTACTACTTATTCAATTTACACAAACTAGGTTGGTGGGTTGTTCACTGTTTCCGTTTGATCTTTCCCCTTCAATATATCCTATAAGTGTCAAAATTTGCAAGCCGGAAGTATATTCCACGAGCGAGAAGTACGAGAAAAGAATCTATTAACATAGAACTTATGGCTGCATCTAGCTATTTCAACAGTAAAACACTGAGACCCCGTTGTCAATCTACTAGTAAGCTTCAATTGAGCCGTGGTACAAAGGAAGATAACTGCCATGAAAATATTTATAGAAAAGACAGAGCGAAATCAGTTCAGTACGGTTAGGAAAGTGACTGAAGTCGAGATGCCAGGTCAGGATCGATAACATTACAGACCATTCCTTGGGATTTGTCTTGAATCTTCAGATATATAGCACCGGATCAAATATGGCAGAAATATTCAATGGTAGATTAATCAGATTGTATTACCAGTTAACAAAAATATAAAAGGAGAGATTATAAAACGCAAAACTCATTGAACACCAAAGCTAATAATGAAATGAAATGAAATGTGGATGTTATATGATAGATGAATACGACGAGTCAAGTTCAAATTCTGGGATAGTCTGTTGCATTCACTTTTGAACTTACACATTTGGGAAAAGCATACATCCTCTTTTCTCCTCTCAGCTATGGGTTAAATAATAGATTAGACTGTGAAGGATGCAAGTAGTCCCAGAGAAGTAAAACTCAGACTTCCAAACCGTGGAGAAAAGGACGCGAACGTGTGCCACTATATTACCCTGGTATACATGACAAGTCACAGAAAATAAAGAAAAGGAATCTGTGGAGAGTCATGATCTCCTCCACACTATGGCATGTCTTTCTTTTTAAATAATGAAATAGTCCATTTAAAATGTAATATGATATAATAAAACAAATATAGAGACTCCGTTGTACTCTGAAAATTGTTCGAAAATAAGTTTTCGAAAACAATAATTCGAAAAACATTTATTCGAATTGTAAATTGTTTGAAGTAAAATTAATCGAAATTACAATTATACCAAATGATAATTATTCGAAATATCTATGTTGGAAATACGTATGTGGTCTTGCTTTGAGAGAGTCAATGCTGGTTTATCTAGAACTAATAACGCCCTTGAATAATGGGATAAGGCTTTTTTTTGCTGCAAATGTCATCCCATTATCCCACAATAAAGAGAACAGGACATACAAGGAATTCATATTGAAAAAGTAAGAGCAGGTTGCCAGAATATCAAGAGTGGCACTAAATACGTAAATAGAAAACTTAAAAAAAAGAAATAGTGGTATCCTTTAATAACGTGTACACGTCAGTAGTTGATTATTTTTCTGGGCAGTACCATATAAATTAAGGTTATCATTTAAGTTTCTTATAAATTGTTTTATTAACGATATTTGTATTTCGAATAATTATCATTTGTGTATTTTCTCTTTTAATTTTTACATTTTTATTTCAATAAAGGATTTTTCATTTTGAATAATTAACATTTAGTATAATTGTCCATTCGAATAATTTTCATTCAAACAATTTACAATTCGAATAAATGTTATTTAAATAATTGTTTCCGAACAATTATTTTCGATCACCTACGCAAATTGATAGCATTTATTTGCTTCAATCTTTCTTAAAAGATCGTGTCATGAAAGTTATCTTGAATGGCCTCTCGTCTAGTTCTTTTCACACTACGTAAGTCTCAGTTGGACATAATATGTTTCTTGTTCTTGAAAAATGATTTATTCATCTGTTATTAAATCTGTATTTATGCTGATGATACAACTATTTAATTCTGTCGATTGAAAGTCCCATAAAGTAAACGGGCAGCTGATCCCGAAGATGATCTTCAATCAGTTGTTATCTGGGGCAAGAAATGACTCGTCAATTTTAATGCCTCCAAAATGAACATACTGTCTCTTGGTCATCTTAGAAAAGCATTTTCACAGACATGAAGTGGAATGAGTATATTGAATCAATTGCTGTGTCGTGCCAGATATTTTTACTCACCAGTTTACGTTTATAAATCTACCATTCGACCGTCTATTGAATATCGCTGGTCTGCTGCTTCTGCTATATATCTCGAGATTTTTAACAAAATCTAAAGAAGGAATTTTGTCTTTCCTGATCTGGTATCCCACCACCGTAAGCTGGCTTATCTCTGTCTTTTTTACAAATATTTTCGTGGGAATTGTTCTGGTGAGCTTTCATCTCTTGTACCACGACCGCGAGAATTTCTTTTTTATTATTTCAATTCTATTTTAATAGCTTTTTTCTCGGGCTTCTCGCTCGTGAAACACTCTACTACCTTCTTGATTTCGCCTGTCACCTACGAGCTTCAAAAATTTAAATGCAACACCAATCGACATCTTCTCTCTTCCTGAATCCTTTTCGTTTATTGTCCTTTGTCTCCAAATAGTTTTTTTTATTTATTTTATCTCACTGTCTGTAACCGCTTATGTTTATTACTCTACAGGGAGTGAAATGTTTTAAAAAAATGTCAAAGGTTCGTGAAATTTAATAGAGAAATCCATATTTACAACATAAGTTCTTTAAAATATTGATATTTTGTGTTTGTAAGTTATCCACTTGACTCGCTTTACAATATCCATATTTTTTTACCAAAATTTGCCTCTATCAGTCGGTCTTCTTAAGTTCGTAGGTCCATTCCAATTGGCCCTCCTACTCCGCACTCTGTTCTGGTCTGCACAGGACTCTTATGTCACTGAGCATTCCTTTCTAACAGTTCAACATTCCATGCCTTCTTTTTTTTGTTGTTCTACATTATTCTAACTTGTTAACCGCTAAGTGGTTATAGCGTTCGCTTTCTAACCATCAGACCCGGGTTCGAATCTCACCACAGTCGATTTGTCCGGAAGTTGACTACTTGAACTGATCGGTCAGTGGGAGGCGATTCCAGCGGGCGGCACCTTTGGAAAGCGCCTGAAAACCATACTACGGATTGACTTGTGAGCGAAATTGAGTACACGTAACTCCTTGGGAGCCGTTGATGGTTGCGCTAGCACAAAGTTTCAAGTCATCGTGACCGAGGGTATGAGCATTCTGACCTTGCTCAGACTGTTGATCACGCTAGATAGGACGCTCTTTCTCTCAAAATCTGTAACTAAATTCCGCTCAGCAGTATAAACCAGAGATGGGATCTGTGGGTGTTAATCAAGCGAAATAATGTGCCTGAGCTGGCGTCTTCAGCAGGGATTGGCTAGTCACCGATGAAGACGGGTATCTCCCCATTAGTGGTCAGCCTAATTTATTTAGTTACTCTATAACATTAAATAAGTTTTAAAAGGTTTTTTTTCTCATTGGATCATTCATTCATTTACATAATATTACTATAATTTGCAAATGTGTTTTTGTCTGTCAGTCTGTTTTCATTCATCCATTCATTGTGTTGGTATTCCCTATAATTCTGTTGTGTTTCATCAAAATAGTGCAATGGTTGATTAGTTTCATTTGCACCGGGAATGTTGAAGTTACCTCGTCCACCTCTCAGAAGTTCCTACGCGGCTCCTACACCCAGGCTGGTGACTGGCCTATGACCGCTTGGAACAGGTGGATTAGGGAGAAGCATTCCCTTTCACCAGTCGGGAAATCCTTCATACTACCCCCACACAGTTTAGCTAACATAACAATACTCTTGACTGAGGTGTGGACGTCGCAGTGCACATGCGACATCTTCGGGTCATATGTGTGAGGTGTAGGATTGTGGATCAGTACAGTTCCGCATCCCAATTCACCTCAGTAAAGCAGGATCGTTGCAAAGGTACTACCACTAACAATATCCCCATACCTCATCAGATAGCTACGCAAGAACTCGATAAACGACGTTGTTAATTTTCAAACTCATGAATAGTTTTTCTTGTGATGTAAATAAATAGACGAATAAAGATATCTGAATCCTTTTGTATACATTTTTATTCCTATCACTTGAACATCTTGATGATGCCTATTTAGATAGATGGCCTGGAATGAGTGAAGTTCGATAAAAGAATACGGCTGATGAAAATGAAACAGTGAAAAAATTCTGCAGGAAAGGAATGTGAAGAATAAAAAAAAAATGTCTGCCTGGCAGACGATCTGTCAGAGATAAAGGCGGGAAATGGATAATAGCCGGAAATGAAGATTGGCTACTTTATTGGTTGACGGAAAGAAAGCATTCTCTATAAGAAGAAATGTTGTAGGACGGACTTTTTCTTCAGCGGTCCTGTCAAACTCTATCGCTAAAGGTCAACAGTCAAGGTTAACAATGGGTGTAGTATCTTTTTAATGTTTCTATTGCTTATCAAGTAAGTTTATTATGGGAAAGTATGTGTTCACTTACACATTCATTGTCCTTTCATTGATTATCGTAATATGTCAGTAATATGGTTCAGAGAGAAATGAATTCATGCATTAAAGTTAATTAGCACAAGCAAATCCAACTGATATTTAACATCAGATTTTTGATTCCATTTTCTGTCCGTATAAACTATCACACACACACACACACACACACAAGTGTATAGCTGGCCACTCATATTCGAGGATATCCGCCTACAATCCTTATTTTTCAGGCGTATTTGTGTTTATTCAACACCCAGAGAGTCCACCTGTGGTTTATACTACAACTATGCTGAGCAGACCTTAGTTACACTTTCTGGGAAAGAGCGTGTTATCTAGGGTGATCAACAATTTGAACATCGGCCAGGATGACTTGTGACTGATTACGTCTACCCAATTTCACACACAAGGCTTGGGTATGGTTTTCAAGCAATTTCCAAATATGCCGCACACTGGGATTGATCCATCTTGTCTTGAAGTTTCGAACCCGGGTCTCATTGTCAGAATGCGAACGTGAGTATATATAATTTTTTATGTGTATGCTTGTCGAGCATTAATCTCGCTAAAAAAGCATACACATAAAAAAATTTTTTAGATCCTAATAGAATTCTTTTCATTTTCTTTTTCATTTCAAAATAATCACAAATTTTACGAATACGTTTTGAAAGCGTCGCCCATGTGACGACAACGTGACCATGTTAAACGGAAAGCTGATCATTTAAAAAAATTTTCAGTTATCTGTTTTGGATAAGACTTGTTTTTTATGTCCATCGTATTTGTGAAATCGAACTGAATTGTATTTTAATGAATATTGTCTTGAAAAAGGTTTATTAAACCGAAACGTCAGACGTCGACATTTCATTCATTTTAAACATAATTGCATTTAAGGATTTTTGTTTGTTTTTTCCAAATTTTCTTCATTCTGTCGGATTTATATCTATTTACATTTGCTTATATATATATATATATATATATATATATATATATATATATATATATATATAATATATGAACGTATATATATATATATATATATATATAGATTTATATATCAGAGTAAATTATTAGTAAAAAACGCACTCTCGGAAATTTTGAAAAAATTCAACTTTAGCGTTGCGACTGCACGCTCCAAAGGTATTTATCCGTTAACAATAACACATTTCTAAAAAACTACCTGCATTTACTAAAAACAAAATAATTTCCATGCCTGACGATGACTGTATGTACAGTTGAAAGTACTATCAGATTAAAAAAAAAGACCTTATACAGCTTGCAGTTATTAAAAACAAGAATCATAACATTCACCAGTATTAATGCAAGTTACAAAATTTAGTTTGCGAAGAGATTTCGCCATTTTATATCATTAACTTTACTAATCTACTTTTTGTATGAATGATTCATTGTAATATATATATATATATATATATATATATATATATATATATATATATATATATATATATATAAACGACAGTGTGGACAAACATGAAACAGATTATCGCCTCAGGGTGCTGACTTCAATCTCCACATTTATATTTGCATTCGCCTTATCTCTGATATTGAGCACTTTAACCCATGAATATAGCACAATTTAAAAGTTATTTTATCATATATATATATATATATGTTTGTGTGTGTGTGTGTGTGTGTGTGTTTGCAAGAGGAACGAAGGTCCTAACTCTGTTGGAGAGTACATCCGCATTATACAGTTTTTCTTGGGTGCGAAGGCTGGTAGAGGAAATACAAGCAGTTAAAGTATGGGGCGTCTATTCAAACACGGGTATCCACTAACAGCAACGTATGAAGTAATAAAAGTGTCGGCTTAGAAATAAATTCACTATATTTTAGAAATTGCTTTGTTTACGTTTCGGATACGAAATCGAACAATTCTGGGCTTTTGAAAATATCTGAAGGAGGTGATATGTATTCCTTAAAAGGGTAAAAAGAACCGAGCTAAGGCACACACCCGATCACATAGTAGTTCCATTTACAGAGGCGGATGCAGTTTCGAACGCCTCTGGATAGTCTATTGTCTTTTTTTCCCTCTCGAGTGGACAGACAAGTAGGTGTAATACATACAGTTTTTTTCTATTCACTAAAAATAAAGTAATACAGGGTCGATCTGTTCTTTGATGTCACGTCCTTTAATTGCTCTAACTTTTTAACTTTTTTTTATTATTTCATCCCAAGCAAGTCGAGAATGCCACTAGTATACAGAGGGTTACAGAGAGTGAAGGTGAAAGAAAAGACAGGTTATGGAAGTGCGTGGAAAGGATAAAAGCTGAACCGGATTCAAGAAGATAGAATATGGCGTTTGGCGTTGCATTTAAATTTTTGAAGATTATAGTTATCAGGGAAGCAAGGAAACAGAAGGAAGTTCCACAGGCGGGAAGTTTGAGTGGAGTAGAAGTGGCGGTTGAATTTAGCTATTTCAACAGTAACCGGGTGGAACCAAGATGCTGATCAATATAGCACGCTTAAATTCATGTAGACGGGGCACCAGAGAAAAAAAATGCCCGTGCCGATAGAATAGAAATACTTGTAACGTTTCATCTGTGGGAATGGCGTTGTAGAGTGGAAATTAATTTCTCACCCACAACGTCATGTAGACGCATTTGGATTCTATCGAGACTTGGTACAATAGCAACACCTATCGTGGCGTGGCTGTTGCCCTATACCCCATAATAAATCTAATGGTGCTAAGAAAGATAAAGAATAACGTGTTATGTATCGTTAATCCTGTAGAATACAGCCTCCTTAACTTAGGGTCACTACCTCTCTACGCTAGGTTAACTGTCTCCCTATGCTAGGACTGCTGCTGTGGTTTCCGAAGAACATTTTCAATGAAGATTTTATTACAAATGTCAAATTTTCATTTCTTCAAAAGGCCGACAAATAAATGTAAACAGGTCTTGCCAAATTTACTCATCCTTTCATATCTGAAGCCAATATAAGATGAAGTAAAAATATGTCGGAGACAAAAGAACTTCCAGGAAGCCATAATACATCTCAAGTTAATCTTAAACATTGCATATTATTGGTAATGAATATTGTCTGTCAACTTTTAAGTTAATAACGTAGGAATAAGAACATAACCTCAACATTCATTTTATTAAGTAGAAAACATAAAGTGACACAAATGTATATATAACTGATTTTGACCAACGCAAAAGAAATTTAATTCACTAAGACTTTAGAATTTATTCATCTCAGATGGTCAAAACAAATAACTTGCCTGCACTAATGCACAGGGCGATACAGAGATTTGGACAGCAGTATGTAGGCCAGGCTTGGTTTAAAGGCATTGCTCCGGTTCAAAGGCACTGGTTTTAGAAATTGGCTGGAAAAGGCCAAGGTCAGTATCCTACCGCTAGAGGGCGGCCATTACAATGCTATTGCCATGTTTTGATAAAATCATCAAATTGCATTTCCTAGGTGTGTAATTTACATACTCTGATTGACAATACTGGCGGGCCGTAAGTGATATATTCTATGACAGAGGATGTGGTTCATATGAAATTTGACCGCAGGCCGTAACTGGCCCCTGGGCCGGAATTTAGATACGCCTGATTTTGATTAAAGATGGTGTAATGTTAGAGAAAGTCAAAGAAAATGTTTGATGATTAAATAAAGATGCCATGCGTGGATTAACCTTGATGATTAAATAATGATTAAATAATGATGCCTTAGATTAGGTTTGATGCTTGAATAATGATTCCATGAAAGGATTAAGATTGATTACTGGATAATCATGCCATAGCAGGATTAATTTTGGTGATTAAATAATATTCCATAAGTAGAGTAACTGTGGTTATTGAATAATGATTCCATGGAAGGATTAAGTTTAATAATTTTAATAATAATGTTTAATAATGTCATGCTTGAATTAATTTAAGGTAATTGAATAATGATATCATGAGTGATTAATTTTGATGACTGAATATCCATGGCGCGAGAGGATTAATTTTGAGGACTGAATATCCATAGCATGATAGGATTCATTTTGAGGAGTGATTATCCATGGTATGACAGGATTAATTGAGGACTGAATATCCATGTCATGAAAGGATTAATTTTGATGACTGAATATCTATGGCACGAAAGGATTAATTTTGAGGACTGAATATCCATGTCATGAGAGGATTAATTTTGAGGACTGAATAATGATGCTACGAAAGAATTAAGTTTAATGATTTTAATAATAATGCCATGCTGTGGATTAATTTTGATCACTGCATAATGACGCTATGAAAGTGTTAAGCTGCTAATTTCTTAAGTGATTCATTGTCGATAGACTTTAATTTTGGAAAGAAGAATTCTCAGTGAAAAAGAATATTCTTAAAAGTTTACTCATAGATTTTTTTTTTAAACTGTACGTCTTTTTACCCAAAGGAAAAAAAAATACTGTAAACTAATATTTCAAGTTTGCTAATAAGATAAAACATTTTTGGAGGTTTTTCTTGAGGTAAAGCTTTTAAAAGATGAAACAAAACCATTACCACCTTTAAGACAAATTATTAGAGCTTCAGAGACGACGTACAAACGCAATACATTGATCAAGAGATTAGAGTTTATTAAAGGAACGAGACTCGACATAAAAACACTTGACAACTTCTATTATCTCGTTTACATGAGAACAGGCGAGATTCCAAAACCATATGTGCGTATATGAAAGGGACCAACATTACCATGTTTAGAAGGTAAAACGAAGTGAGGCAAGAGAAAAAAAAATTCAAGCAAGAAGAAAGATGAGTTTCGGGTGTTAAAAAAACCTCAAACTCTCAATGATCTGGTTGAGATGATAGTCGAGTGCTTAAAAAGTTGTCAAGCAGGAAAGAGATGGCGAATTTTGTTTGAGAGTACAATTTATGGAGGTACTACTTGAGAGGCACTGCTTGTCTGGTTATGTCTCAGCATCCAGCCAATGAAGTGACTTCGTAATATTTACTAGATATTTTGTTACTCTATGCGATTAGTGCCGTCGAGAGACGATAGCGTACGACAGATCTTACCCACTCAACATCTTAGCAAGTATGGGAACACGCGTCTTCCAAGATGAAGAGGGTGTGTGTGTGTGTGCAAGATAGATAGATAGATAGATAGATAGATAGATAGATAGATAGATATTTAGAAATAATGACACTGGGCATGCCTATGAGATGCTTGTGTGTGTGTGTGTGTGTGTGTTTATTCGCATCACACTTGCGTCTGTGGACAGCTCAACAGTAGTGTATAGTGGACCAAAAGGATACAAATTCTATTACTAGTATAAAGTCAGTTTATTTAACAGTTACTTCATTTGTTTCGTGTGGGTAAAAAAATGGGCAGGAGACAATAAAAATTCTTATTAGGTGGCGCGACCAAAGGACCGATGATTATATATATATATATATATATATATATATATATATATATACATTTTCATATAGACAAAAATGCGGCTTTCTAACAAACAGTGTTGTTCATAAACATTTTGGTTCTCACCTGTCGAAGTGCAATTTTAAATGCACTGAAACGAAGTTGCATCTTTGTAGTGAGTAAAGATTATAATAAATAATTATTGCTCTACTATTATTGAGGGCTCTTTTGAATTAACTCCGTGAACGTTAGAATTTATATACTGTTTTCGTTCTCATTGAATTTGTATATATATATATATATATATATATATATATATATATATATATATATATATATGTATGTGTGTGTGTGTGTGTGTGTGTGTGTGTGTGTGTGTGTGTGTGTGTGTGTGTGTGTAAAATCCGAAGTTAAATAACCAAAATGAATCATAAAATTTATGAAATATTAAAACTGGTACGCGAAGATAGCTCAATATATTTATTATAACAGAGCATATATAAATAAATAAATTCCATAAAAGAGAAATTCAAAAATACCCCATATGTATAGCTATTTCACCCCACAAGAAATCCCTAGCAAGATTGTTAAAACCAAGAGCTTAGGAAATAAAATAAAAAAGGTAGCTTAAGAAATTTAAACTTTTAAGAATCAAGAAAGAAGGGGAAGAGAAGAAAGATGAAAAAGTAAAAGAAAAAGAAAAAACGAAAAGGGAGAAAGAATAATATGACTGAGGACGTTGTAAATCGTATAGCCAAAGTTTAAGCACAGTTTCATAGTGATAGGAGGGGAGTGTTAGGATTCAGATACCAGTTAAAATAACCTTGACCTATATTTTAAAATATTAACCTCTACTTTCTATAAGGAAAGTTACTTAAAGAAAATTCAAAATTGAAAAATTAGAGAAGATTTTTATAAATATTTTATAAAAAACATTAATGATCAGTAATAATAATACACATAATATGATAATTAAAATAATAATTATTAAAGACAAGTTATTAAGTAAGTTTAATAAAAAATATTATAAATTAAATATAAATTAATAGGTAATAAATACAAGCTAATAAATAAAAATGAGCATGCGTCGAAACGACAGCAATTGTGTAGCGATTTTTTACATGTTGCTTTAATATCCTAAAATAAATAATATTGCTTTTCTCTCTATTGACACCTCTTTTTAAATTAAATGTATGAACGTTGAAATTGTACTCCATTCCTTCTCATCTTACTGATATATATATATATATATATATATATATATATATATATATATATATATATATATATATATATGTGATAGGATAAGGAGCAAATAGGATCTCTGCCTCTAATATTTAATCCAAATTCCCATATATATATATATATATATATATATATATATATATATATATATATTATATTCTGTCTAACCACGTTATTATGTTTATACCTCATGTATAAGTTTGATGATTACTATATTTGCATGCCCGCTTATGCACACCAGCACGCGCGTATACGCTTGCTTATATCTGGTCGATTGGTTTATCTATCTTATAACTATATATATATATCAAAATAGAACATTAACATTTTTACAGGAACAAATGCACGAAAATTATAAAGACGAGGTTGCCTTGCGTTTAATCATAATACATTTTACTCACAAAATTTATTATATACTATAGAAAATTAAAAACTGTCAACCTCATAGTTACCAAGATTTACACACCTATGGAATTGATAGACCATTTTCCCATGAAAATTTGTGATAAAGATAAAACAACAAATAAATACTTTGGTAACACTTGAGTAATCTTAGTTCGGTAAAGAAGCACTTAAACATTCATACTCAACTTTCCATTTCCATTAGAAAAGAATCCTTATAGATGATGTCATTTTAAATGCTGTCATTTAAAAACATCTGTAAAATACGTTTGAAGATAATGGAAGCACTTTTTATGAAACAGTACAACCCTTTACACAAGATTATTGTTTTGAAACCAGCCGAGATGTATTGGGTAGATTTTGAAGGTAGCCCAATTACTGCTATACAGCACATCATATCATAGAATACAAACACGCAAATATACTAATAACGAAGCCCTTGGAAATGGCTAAAGAATTAACAGAAACTGTTTGGAACAACCATAATGATGGCCAGATTCAGAATCTCTTTAGTCGACATAAAAGGAAAACTGTAAGGACATTAGAAAATATGAATAGAATTTTGCCTGTTCGGCAGATTCAATACGACACAAATAAATAAAGATTAGTGCCGAAATATATATTTATTGGAGATAGTAGTCGTGGCTCGTGGTGGCACAGTCGTTTGGATAATGGAAATTCGGATGAGTTCCATCACGGAAGATTTGATCGAGCGGCGCTATATTGGTGTCTAATTCGTTACCTCTTCGTCACTGAGGTCCGTTAGTACAGTTGGTATGAAGTTTGCAACGGCCCAGATTTCAATTCTCGGTAGTGGATGCGCACTGATGATGAGTCCCAAATATTGGACGAAACAGCCGTCCAATGCATTCTGCATCCTATTGAGGTTTCTTCTAGACTCGATGAAATACTTAATTATGCTATATATATATATATATATATATATATATATATATATATATGATTAATATAAGTAAATAGTTCAACACTTACCTGATTAATGTTACTTTCAGCATCCCGACTCCAGAGTTTCGTAGACGGGCCCGTCCATTCACTCGTCAGGGGGTATCAGCAATTGCAATTCAGCGACTGAATTTTCTTTTTTATATTCACTTATCATTGGTTCAAGTTTTTATAGTGTGTGTGTGTGTGTGTGTGTGTGTGTGTGTGTGTTCCCGCGCGTGCGACTATTCGGTTGTCTGCGCGGATGTATATACGTGTAAGGTGTTGTGATTATTTATCCTTTTCGTCGTTCTTTAGCTGATCATTTTTCCACTTTACATTCACCCCTTAACGTTTTTTCTCTATTTTTTCAATTGTAGCCATTTGTTGTTATTTGATTTCTGTTTTTTTTATTTGCATATTGCTGTTTTTATTTTTTGAGCGTTCCAGTCTTTTCTTGAGTAAGGAAAATTTTATTTCGTATTTTACATAAATAATTGATTTTAATGCTTAAATGATAAAGTAAATATTTATAAACGTCTTCACTTGGCTATTATTTCGTATTCTTATTTGGTTTGGTTGCATGTTAAATTGAGTACTATTAAAATGTTAATTGTAGAAGGTTAGGTTTATAATTTGCTTTTATCTAAATTATTATTTTGTTTGGTTGGTTGATTGAATTCATTTGGCATTATAACAACCTCTATGGGTTATTTAATGCCGAAATTTAAATATTTTGTAGATAATTTTATACTTTCAGGATAAAAGGTATTTTTTTTTTAAATATGGTTAATAATTTTACTATAAATAGAAAATGTTGGTTAGTTGATTTTGTTTAGCGACATATCAACACCTCTATGGGTTATTTAATGCCGAAATCTAAATATTCTGTACGTTATTTTACGCTTTCAACTACAGATATTTTGTACATAATTTTATGCTTTCACAGTAAATGTATGTATAGATATATATTTTGTAGATCATAAAACGTAATGTTGGTAATTTCAATATTAAAATATATTTTTATATTTTAGTGTTCTATTGACTGTCATTTTGCTATAGAAAATGTATTTTTAGCCATTTTATTATAAAAATGTGCTGTTGATATCTATTTGTTTTTGTTTATTCACTATTTGCCCATAGCTGGGAACCTAACAAATGTTATCACACCGACTTAGGGTGTAACTAGAAACAACAGCTATTAAGATGTTGTTCCACGCTCCTCAAAACCTTCAATCTCCTGATCAGAGGCAATGCTGTCGAATGTATGAAGCTATTACTGCAGTATTAGAACGATAGTATATAAATATACGAAATAGCCTGCTTATTACTGTATTTGACGGCATATAAGGCGCACTTGCTTTTTAAATAAGAATATCTTTTTAAATTCCCCTGCGTCTTATATGCCATATGTAGGTTTAAACTTTGTGATATTTGCCGAAATTAACTACCTGACAACTATTAGCTTAGACTTTAGAGCAGTGGATCTCAACCTTTTTTTTACCCATGGACCCCTTTCCCCTTCTTTTTATCTTGGTGGACCCCTTCATAGCTATTGGACATAAGAACAATTTTCTATTCTTCACTAATATAAATTTTAAGGTTTTAATTATCAAAGAAATAGTATACGATTAAGCTTTATTTTTAAATGAAAACTAATTTAATACAAATAAAATATTCTACTATAATTATAATAATAATTATTATTACTATTTTTAATTAACACAACAATTGAGTTTTGCCTGTGGACCCCCGGAAATATTACATGGACCCCTAGGGTCCATGTAGACCCCGGTTGAGAACCACTGCTTTAGAGTAAATTTCATATACCTATTGTCATTATTTAAAATGCAGATTAAAAGTGTTATCATTGATAATATTCATTATATTAATTTCATCACGTTTATTATTAGTACTTTGTTTCACTAAAATTTTATGCAATAAATTCAAATTATATATTTGTAAAATAAATTTGTTTCATTAATGTTTTTTCTTGCGATAACTTCTTGTTACATTGGTATAAATACAATCAGAATTTTTATATCCAAATTATTCCACTAAGACTTTTACAAGACGCAGTTTGTACAGATGATATAAAGGAAAATTTTTGAATGAATTTTAATGGCAACTGTACTGTTTTGCTCAATTGTAATAATTGCTTGATTTTTATTTTGTTTTCTTACCTTTGGATATAATAAAGTTT